ATGGACAAAGTAGTTAAGTTAAAGATGCTAAAAACCAGACAGTGTTGGAGAGCAGCCTTCGGGCGCTCAACCGTAACCTAGCACACCATAATCTACCCATTGCGATAGTGTACCGTGTGCGGTATATTATCATAGTCTACCTAGTGTGATAGGGAAACTAGTGCGGTACAGCATCATAGTCTACCTAGTGCGATAGTGTACGTAGTGCCGTACAGTATCATAGTCTACCTAGTGCGACAGTGTACCTCGTACGGTACGGTATCATAGTCTACCTAGTGCGATAGTGTACCGTGTGCGGTGCAGTATCATAGTCTACCTAGTACGATAGTGTACCATGTGCGGTACAGTATCATAGTCTTCCTAGTGCGATAGTGTACCRTGTCCGGTACAGTGTCATAGTCTACCTAGTGCGATAGTGTACCTTGTGAGGTACAGTATCATAGTCTACCTACTGCCATAGTGTACCAAGTGCGGTACAGTATCATAGTCTACCTAGTCTGATACTGTAGCTAGTGCGGTACAGTACCATAAGTTTGGATCGAGTGTATTGAAGGTGTATCAAGTTTTCATCGAGTGTATTGAAGACGTATCAAGTTTGGATCGAGTGTATTGAAGGCTTATGAAGTTTGGATCGCGTGTATTGAAGGCGTATCAAGTTTGGATCGAGTGTATTGAAGGCGTATCAAGTTTGGATGGAGTGTATTGAAGGCGTATCATGTTTGGATCGAGTGTACTGAAGGCGTATCAAGTTTGGATCGAGTCTATTGAAGGCGTATGAAGTTTGGACCTTGTGTACTGAAGGCGTATCATGTTTAGATCCAGTGTATTAGAAGGCGTATCTAGTTTGGATCGAGTGTATTGAAGGTGTATCAAGTTTGGATCGTGTGTATTGAACGCGTATCATATTTGGATCGAGTGTATTGAAGGCGTATCAAGTTTGGATCGAGTTTATTGAAGGCGTAATGTGTATTGATCGAGTGTATTGAAGGCGTATCTACCTAGTGCGATAGTGTACCGTGTTCGGTACAGTATCATAGTCTACCTATTGGAATAGTGTTCCTAGTGACATTCAGTATCATAATCTACCTAGTGTAATCGTGTAACCAGTGCGGTACAGTATCATAGTCTACCTAGTGCGATAGTGTACCGTGTGCGGTACAGTTTCATAGTCTACCTAGTGCGATAGTGTACCGTGTGCGGTACAGTATCATAGTCTACCTAGTGCGACAGAGTACCGTGTGCGGTACAGTATCATAGTCTACCTAGTGCGATAGTACACCATGTGCGGTAGAGTATCATAGCTTACCTAGTGCGATTGTGTACCGTGTGCGATACATTGTCATAGTCTACCTAGTGGGTAGTGTAGTGTAGTGTAGTAGTGTAGTGGTAGTGTACTTGTTCGTACCGGAAAACCAATAAAGTGTTCCTGTTGTGAACGAAGTTACCGATGAGCGGTACGCGCGAGAGAGAAATCCGCGGGAAAATCAACTTCGTCTCCAGGGCCATCTCGGTCGGTCATATTACCCTGTGGAGTCCCC